GTTCTTTTTGAGTTGAAAGTTCCACTACCCACTTTTTGCATGAACAACATTTTTTTTTAAGTTTAAAATGGTCTCAATTATCCATGAATGAGTGAGATCATGTGGTATCTTTCCTTCATTGACTGGCTTATTTCACTTAGCATAATGCTCTCCAGTTCCAGAATTGTTCTTTCAGCTACAGTTCATCAGAGGTGCTGCTGCTTTAAAATGTTGGTTTTGTTATTATTCAGGGATGGTGAGGCCAATAGGTCAGGAGACGACGGACATTGATGCAAAGATAATTCATTATTCACAGTTCCCCAGAGAAGAGGGCACACCATGTGGAAGGGGGACCTCAGGGAGAAGCACCTGAGTCCATCAGGAAGCAGAAGGAGTGAGGGGAAAACAGAAACAAGAACCTTTATTGTGGTTTCCTCGGGAAGGACTGGGAGAGGTTGGGGTAGCAGGTTTAGGATTGGAAGGTTTGAGGAGCTTCAGTGGGTTCTGGGGTGTAGGAACTGTCCCTGGTTGTCTGACAACTGGCTCAGGGGTAATGGGGCACATGGATAATGGCTTCGAGTATGATAACTTGAAAAGGGATGTGGTTGGGGTGTAGATTACAGATTAGTTGGTTTGTGTATGAAAGGCTCACTCAGAGGCAAGTTCCTTCCTACCTCAGGATGACACAGGACAGTCCCTCAGTATCATCAAGCCCAAGATTGAAGCATGAGAATACAGAAAACACAAGACACGCTTATACAGCTGCTCAAGAACAGTGATCTCTCCCCTTGCCCTGAAGGCATTGTTGGTCCTTCCCCAGACGACCCTCATGGATTCTTATCTCAAGAAAATAAGTCTACGTTAGGCTGAGAGAGGCCTGTAAAGTCATAGATGTAGAGACCTTACCCAGAAGCTCTGATAAAAGAAAAAATGGCTCTTTCAACTGGAGACATATTAAAAGAAAAATAGGTTAAAAATGTTTCCAGGCATAAGTCATATTTGTCAGCTCAGTAATTAGAACTCTCTACTCCAAACTCAGCAAATTGCACACACCCAGCAATTTAAAACTTTTTATTAATTTTATAAGACATTTTTTCAAGTCCTCATATGAATTTCTTATAACACTATGATGTGCCCCTGACTCTTCTGTCTGTCTTTTCATTGAATCTCCCCAAGCACATGCAGACACACACAATGACACATCGTGTGACATGCACAGACAGGCGCCTGTCAAATTATATAGACATTCATTGTCCCTGTTGAGAGCATTTCCCCCCTTCCCAACTTTGCTGAGCTCTATTAGATCAAAATGTTCCTAGAAAAATGGGCTGAATTCCTGCAGCCTTGCCAGCCACATCAATCTTCCAGACTTTGGAGCATCAACAATGAAGATCACAGCACTGGAATTAATATTCCAATTGATAAATGGTTGAGGTTTGTGTATCAGTCAGATTTGTCAACAGCAAACTCCTGGCAAAGTGAAAAGGCTTTTGAAAAATCACCTCTGGGCTTTTATACCCCCCATATGCTTAAAAATCCACCACTATCACCATCACCCTGCCTCAAAAAAAAAAAAAAAAGCCCATTTTCTTTCAATTTGTTACTTCAGAGTCTGGTTTTTTCTCAGGTCAGGGAAGGGAAGAGTGCCCTTTGGTGGAGGAAGGGACACAAAGAGCAAGTCTATGGGTTGAGCTCTTTAAGTTAGAGCCCCACTGTGTCCATGGCAGATGATTCAGAGCTCGGATTCCTGGAGGCATCTCAACATTGTCTTCTAGGTATCTACCTCCTCCAAAATGATAAGATGCTATAGGAATGTTGGTAGTCTGACTTGGGCCACAAGAATCAATGACAAAGGCAACTGGAATCAGATGTTTCTACTCCTTTCAGGGGCTCCAGAAGCAAGTATTACTGGCCTTCTGACAGCATGTGGAGTACTTGAACATGACAATTCCTGTATTTCTGAGGGTAAATGGGCAGCCCAGAATCTGTTGAGAAATGTGTGACCCTGCCTGCTCAGGGAGCTCAGGCAGTAGACTATCTGGGTCACCCCAAAGAGGGGACAGCTGCACCAGGAACAGAGTGACGGAGCCAGCGGGGACACGAGGCAGAAAACTTAGCACAACACATTTCTATTTTCCATCTCTGGATTTAAGCTCTGGGTAATATAGGTCTGCCAGAAAGCAAAAAGTGAAACAGAGATGGTTAAGGATATTAGAAAGAACTTGTCTTTATTCTTGGCAGAATTTCCACACTTTGCTAGTGCTGGTGAGCTAGGCACAAGAGGAGTGCAACTGGGGAGATTGCCTTTTCTTTGAGTGTTCTGTGGCTTCTAAATTGGCTGTGTGAGGACTTGTTTGCAGAATTAAGCCAGAGTGTATCATTAAAGGCATCTCAAATGAACATCCCTTTGAGAGAATGCTTTAAAAAATTACCTATAATAGCAGTTGGCTGCCTCCTGCATAGTTTGTTTAAGATTCAGCTAGCTGGGGAATGTCCAATTGTTATCACTACATACTGTGATAATCCCCATACGAAGGGGAAAATGGATCTTGAATTGGGAGATGGATTACAATGATATTTCAGAGGGGATTTAAAAATGTATGACCCAACAGCTTTTGTTTTTAGAATTGTGGTGCTTCTCATTGCAATAGTCAAGTGTGAGGGAAGAGGTAAAGAATGGATGGAGATGTTGAAACATGCATCCTGGAGGTTGGATGAATATACATTCTCTTGCTATGAAAGTAGTGATTCAGACTTTCCTTTCCTTAGTATGCATTTGTCTTGACTGCCTTTCCTTTGTCTTTCTTTCTATCCTTTTCTTCCTGTCTTCTTCCTGGCTTATGCTAGTAGTCCTGGCCAGTGGTTGCTTTCCGTGGGACCCTGCACCCAGTTAGTTCGCTGCAAAAACACATGTCATAAATATACTAGAGGCCTGGTACACAGATTCATGCACTAGTGGGGTCCCTCGATCTGGCCTGCACCCTCTCACATTCCAGGACCCCTCGCGGGATGCTGGAGAGCTGGTTTTGGGTTAACCCCTGCAGGCCAGGCTAAGGGATCCCACCAGTACACGAATCCGTCCACTAGGCCTCTAGTATGCATATAAAATCTTTGGTTAATATCTTTCTGCCCTCCCCCCTTCCCCTCTTCTCTCTGAGATTCATCAGTCTGTTTCATGTTTTCATGCCTGTAGTTTCCACTCCTGTGTTGAACATCTGCCCCCTGGTGGTCAGTGCACTTTATAGCTACTGGCCAGTCGGCCGGTTGGCCAGTTGCTTAGGCTTTTATATATATAGATAGATGTCTAGGGGGCTTTGTCTACTTTTCATGTATGGGTGTCTACCATGAGCCACCAATATCTTAATTGTTTTGAAGCTTTCATATAGACTTTTATCTTTATGAATATATTTTTGGTTGAATCTAAACACTGTGGATTTAATGGTCAATGGATTAATGATTTAGATAAGACACAGTAGACTGTATTTATGAACATATACATTGTGAGACTCTGGGCTAGAAAGTTAAAGTGTCATATGAAAAATGCTATGTTATTGCTTTACCATAAAGACATCCATGGAATGACTATAAATAAACTAGTGGCCCAGTGCACAAAATTCGTGTGTGTGTGGGGGGGGGTTGTTCCTCAGCCTGGCCATCACCCTCTCCAATCTGGGACCCCTTGGGGATGTCCAGCTGCCGGTTTAGGCCCGAACATCAGGAAGGTCTCCTGGAAGGTCTCCCAGTCTAATTAGCATATTACCCTTTTATTAGTATAGATAGAGGCCTGGTGCATGGGTGGGTGCCTGCTGGTTTGCCTTGAAGGGTGTCCTGGATTAGGGTGGAGCTTCCTTTGGGGTCTGGGCAGTCTGGGTGAGGGGCCTGTGGTGGTTTGCAGGCTGGCCACACCCCCACTGGGGTGGGGGTCCCCACTGGAAATGGAGCTGGCCTGGGTGAGGGGCTGGGGCAGTTTTCAGGCCAGCCACACCCCCATGGTGTGAGGGTCCCCACTGGGGGTCATGGCCAGCCTGGGTGAGGGGCTGAGAGCTGTTTTCAAGCTGACCACACCCCCCAGCAGGGACCCTCAGCCCATGGGGGCATGGCCAGTCTGGGTGAGGGGCTGAGGGCCATTTGCAGCCCCCTCCCTCAGAGGCCAACCTGGGCAACCCAAGCCTCCCATGTGCTCAAGCCGGCTTTGTGGCCACCGCCCACAGGTCCCTCCTTCAGCGGCCAGCCAGGGCAGGCAGGAAGCCTGGCTTCCTCCATCGCTGGGGGTGACCCAAGCCTCCCACCCGCTCTGGCTGGCTCTGTGGCCACTACCATCTTGTCCCACTAATTTGCATATTCCCTCCTAATTGATTTGTGGAGGTGCGGTCAATTTACATATTTGTCTATTATTAGTGTAGATAATATTATGACTAAAGGCAAAGCAGGTAAATTGCTGTGAGAGTGAGCCATTATTTTATAGGCAAAAGTGACGCAGCTACAGACAGAACACACAGAGAGAGGAACAGAGTAATAGGACAGTTCAATGTAATTCTAGTCCACCAGTTGTAACTTCATTTAGTAAGACCTAGTAGCAATTCATACTCATGACACACATTTAAATTTATAGTGCATTTTCCAATCAGTGGTTTCATAAAATAGCAAGCAGGCATCATTTTGCACATGTTACAAATGCAAGTGGTTGCAGAGGTACAAAGAAAGTAAGTAACTTGTCCTAAGAGTGGAGAAAGGAACTCAGATCTTTGAGCTCCTTGTATATATTTCAGTACACTGTGAAACAGGATCTTAAATTGATGCTGGGAGTTTCAATGAGCCAGTGTTCTAAAGATGGATGTTCAGAGAACAGAGAGGAAGGCTGCATATTAAATTACAGAAGAAGGAAGTCCAGGAATCTGAACACTCATATGTTGCTGGTGGGAATATAAAATAGTGCAGCCACTTTGGAAAACTGTTTGGCAGTTCCTCAAAAAGTTAAACAGGGAGCTACCATATGACCCAGCGAGCCCACTCAAGAGAAATGAAAATGTATGTCTACATAAAATCTTGTATATGAATGCTCATTGCAGCATTATTCGCAACAGCCCCAAAGTTAAAACAACTCTAAGTGTCTATCAGTTGGTGAATGAATCAACAAAATGTGACATATCCATACAATGAAATATTATTTGGCAACAAAAAGGGAATATAATAATGACACATGCTATAAGTGAATGGACCTTAAAAACATTATGCTAAGTAAAAAAAAATTGTCCTAAAAGATCACATATTATGATTTCATTTACATGAAATTTTCAGAATAGGTAAGTTCATACAG